AAGAGAACAGGAAGGTTTCCGGAGGCGCTACAGCGCATCGGATATCATTTTTACTTTAATTCAACTGTTCGAGAGCGCGAGGGAATTCCAGCTACCCTTGTGTATATCCTTCGACGACTACGAGTCAGAGATGGACAGTGCTGAGTATCACTGCTCTAGAAGAACAGGGCATCGACATCCGTTATACCAACCTTTAAGAAACTCTGGCATTTTTCACAAACATCACACTGTTTGACACCCCTCCGCATTACAGCAGAGAAAAGCGTGAAACAAGTTGGCATAGTTCATTGTCTGTTTGAAAATAGTGTTCCGGTGGGCAAACTGGAAGGGCGGAATTAACATCCCTGTTGAACAGGCCAATCACCTTAGCATTGCTGTTGACGTGGTTTTATTTGCGGAAAACGCCAATAAAATATAAGACACGCTGCAAGAGATCGACAAAACAAGAGCAGAAGTAGGACTGCAAATAAATCGGTTAAAGACAAAGATACCGCGATCAACTGTTCTGCCGAAGGCCAAGGTAATGTTAAGCGGCAAGAAGACAGAAAAGAAGTCGATAAATAAGTTTATTGGGTCAAGAAATCAATATGTGGCATGATCATGCTGGAGAGATTCAAAAAAGAAAGAAGGTTGGGTGATGCGTCCTCCATTCCATCACGGACATCCTCCTCGGAAACATCAGATAAGAATCCCACGCTCCCTCCATCCAATACCATCCTTGCAGCATGATGCATGTTTGTAACACGTTCTTATTCACTAAAGCCGAAAACGCAAGTTATGTGTCACCTGGTAGCCACAGAAAGAAGAATGCTGTAAATTTCACGTCGCGATCGCATCCCCAACACGGTGAGCAGACAACGGACGGGAGTAAAGGACGTTTTCGTCGAAAACAGAAGGGAGAGGTTACGGTTAGCCGGCAACATAGCTCGACTCACCGACAAAAGATAATCATTATTGATATCGACTGGTATTCTCACAGGCGGACTAACTGCTTCGTTACTCATAATGATTATATCAGCAGGCAGGAAGTCTCCCTTACAGTGAGAAGACCTGAAACCGCGAAGAATGGTTGCGGTTGCAGCTGATGCGAATCATCATATTGCCAGCCGGTCCAAGTGACCCAAGCTCAAGTGATAACCATCAGAATCTTTAAAGCAAGCATGGCCTTTTACGATGGTTTCAGAAAGTCAGAAGCGAGGCATCGGAGTAAAATGTCAGTCGCGAAGTAGTTTTGTCATCCGAATTGAATCGAGCAGCATGAAGCATCTGCAATGGAAACGTCCGCGAATTATGAACGCCAGTGAAGGATGCACCACCGCATTGTTGGCCTTTTCGAATCGAGCAATTCAATATCAACAACTTCAAACGCAACTATCAAATGAACCAACTGAATATAGGTGTGACACATCTCGTTCCGGATTATTCCCTGCACAGCAGTCTTTTACCTTGCGATTCGAACAACCTGTCCATGAGATCAGTATATGACAAAATTGCTGCCTGAAATTCAGCCTTAGGAAATTCTGTCGTCTGAAATTGCACCAGTCTTTGTTATTGTCTTTGTTTTATTTTTTTATTTTGCAGAAAAGCGATGTATCATTTTTTGGAGCTTAAGCAATAAACTGTTACTGCTTTGATGCATCTCGCACTGCAAATGTTCAAATATCATGGAGCTATGACCGACTTAAACGACTCTGGACGCTAGTAGGAGTAAGAGGGCGGCGTTATATTCAGTGAAATATTGTCTTACGGTTAGATGTTATTTGGCATATTCCGGCGTACGAACACATTTTGATGTTCATGCAGTAGCAAACAGGAGTACCAGCTCATTAAACATGTTGTTTGTGGTGAGCGTGGCTCTAGCGGAGAAAATGGCACATGACATGTGCGATTAAAAATGTATAAGCACGATGAAGTCGTGGCCTGCTTAAACGACCCCTCTAAACAACTAGGAAGGGGAGGCACGGCATGAATC